TGTCCCGTCACAGCTACAGTTACAGCCGGCCTCCCCACTGCCTGCTCCGTCTCCCTACACTGGTCCTACTGGAGGTCTTGCTGAGCGTCGTGAGCCTGCGTCTCGCCCTGCGTCGCCTGTCCGTGCTGCTCGCACTAGTGGTCGCAGTTCGCGTCAGCGTCCTCCTCCTGTCCCTGGCACGCACCGGATGTCTCTGCGTCCGTCCACTGCTCCTCTACGTGCCCCTTTGCCTTCTCCTCCTGAGTCTTCTCTTCCTGCTCTTGCCGACCCGGAGTCGGACTCTCTTCGTGGTGCCAATCCTACTGTCACGCGTCTCCTTACTACTGTTGTCACTGACCCTTCCTTTGAGTCCAGTGCTGCGTCTGCCCTAGTTGCTGAGCTCGTCGACTTTGCTGCTCGCTGTCGTCTAGACTACGCTGCTAGTCTTGTTGCTGAGTCTAAGTCTGTCTGTCCTCCGTCCGTCGGGGGTGAGTGTGCCCTTGGCACGGACGTCCTTGAGGACAGGCAGGAGAAGTTCCACTGCTTGGCCGCTGCTTCACCTCATCTCGTGTCCGTACTGCTTACCCCTGAGGGAGACCCGGATGCACTTGACATCCCGACTCCGCGCTCTTACGCGGAGGCGATAGAGGGTCCCTACTCCTCTCAGTGGCAGGCAGCTATGGACGCAGAGATGGCTTCCTGGAAGTCCACAGGCACCTACGTTGATGCCGTTCCCCCTCCTGGGGCGAACATCGTCAGTGGCATGTGGATTTTCAGGGTGAAGCGGCCGCCTGGTTCTCCACCTGTCTTTAAGGCGCGTTACGTGGCTCGTGGCTTCTGTCAGCGACAGGAAGTTGACTACTTTCAGACCTTCTCTCCCACCCCGAAGATGACCAATCTTTGGGTGCTACTGCACATAGCCGCTCAGCGCGACTACGAGCTTCACTCTCTTGACTTCAGCACTGCTTTCTTGCAGGGCAGCCTGCACGAGGAGATCTGGCTGCGCCGCCCACTTGGCTTCACTGGGACTTTTCCTCCTGGCACCCAGTGGAGCCTCCGCCGGCCAGTCTACGGTCTCCGCCAGGCACCGCGTGAGTGGCACGACACACTGAGGACTACACTTGCGCCTCTTGGGTTTGCTCCCTCTACTGCCGACCCGTCGCTGTTTCTGCGCATCGACACTTCCTTGCCGCCGTTCTACATCCTCGTGTACGTCGACGACTTGGTCTTTGCCACAGCTGACACTGCTGGACTCGCCCACGTGAAGTCCGAGCTGCAGAAGAGACACACCTGCACTGACCTGGGTGAACTGCGCAGCTACCTTGGGTTGCAGATCACTCGGGACAGAGCACGCCGCACCATTACCCTGACTCAGTTACACATGGTGCAGCAGGTCCTTCAGCGCTTCGGCTTCACGTACTCCTCGCCCCAGGCCACTCCTCTGCCTACTCGCCACTCGCTCTCAGCTCTGCCTTCGGATGAGTCCGTAGAGTCGAGTGGCCCGTACCCAGAGCTTGTTGGCTGCCTCATGTACCTGATGACTTGCACACGACCTGATCTTGCATACCCTCTTAGCATCTTGGCACGCTATGTTGCTCCTGGGAGACACCGACCAGAGCACATGGCTACAGCGAAGAGGGTGTTGCGCTACTTGTGCAGTACATCGGGCATGGGGCTAGTGCTTGGAGGGCGACGTCCAGTGGTCCTCACAGGTCACGCAGACGCTTCTTGGGCTGACGACCAGGCTCACTGGCTACCGAAGCAAGGGCGACGGACTACAGGCGCTGCAGGCGACACGACAGCTATCTTCACACAACCTCCTCCAGCTGCCCCACACCCTCGACACACACCCCCTGCTCAAACCCTAGTTCCACTCCCACAGCACCCCCCTTTCACACACCCCTTGCTGCACCCTAGGTTCACTCACACCCCACCCCCTAGCACCACTCCGTCGACTCCCACACACCCACCCCCCTCAACAGCAGCTGCAGCAGTGGGAGACCGAGGAGGAGGAGGAGCAGGGGAGACCACAGACCCGCCACCCCCTACTCGCCACCCCCAGACCCTAACACAGGGCAAGGCGGGACGGCGAGTAGGGAGGTTACGGGGGGGGGGGGGGAGGGGGGGCTGACGCGCGGCCATTCAGGGCGCCAAAAAAGGCGGCAGAAGGGGCGACGCTCGCCCCCCCTCCCCCCAGGTCGTCCCTCAACAGGCGACGGGAAAAGAGGGGGGGGGGCGGTGCACGGGCCCCCGGTGCGCCGCGACAGGCGACGGAGCATGGCCGGGGCGGGGCCGGGGCAGGGTCGAGGCAGGGCCGAAAGGGGCGGCGACGGGGCCGCAAGTGGCGGCGACGGGGCCGTTGGAGGCGGCAACGGGGCCGATAGGGGCGGCGACGGGGCAACGAAGAGGCCGCGAGGGGCCTGAAAGGTCGGCGACGGGGCCGTTAGGGGCGGCGACGGGGCCGCAAGGGGCGACGACGGGGCCGCTGGAGGCGGCGACAGGGCCGATAGGGGCGTCGACGGGGCCGCGAAGGGGCCGCGAGGGGCCTGGAAGGGCGGCGACGGGCCGCTAGGGGCGGCGACGGGGCCGCGAAGGGGCGGCGACGGGGCCGCGAAGGGGCCGCGAGGGGCCGAGAAGGGCGGCGACGGGGCCGCAAGGGGTGGCGACGGGGCCGCTAAGGGTCGCGCGAGAGGCACGCCACAGGGCGTGCAGCACACAGAGTAGCAGCGGAAGCAGTTAGGTGGGCCCACAGGCCAGGAGCGTAGATGCTCTGATAGCATGTGAAAAATGAGGGATGAAGAAGAGAGGGGTTGCACTAGTAGCAGTTGGCATACATATAGGAAACCCTAATTGGGTTGTACTCGCTATAGTGTACCCCACTGCAGGCTAGACAATTATAACGTTCTGACACGGCGCGCCCACTTTAGCTTCTCGCGCACGGTCCATCCACGTCGCTTTTTTGTAGTGTCCTTACTGCGAGGGGAAGGTGGGCGGGTGTTGGAATTATTGAGGGTGGGGTCTTTTGGCGTAGGCTTCTCACAGAATGAAGGAATCGGGCCCGCCGCTTCCGCGTATTCGTTGTCGCTGCCAAGAGTCTCGTTAACAACGATGTCGTTCGGATTTGGCGTCTTCTTCGCCTTCTTCTTAGCAGCACTCTTGCTGGATCCAGGATCGCCGTCAGTTTTCCGCTTCTTATTGCTTGTGCGGCGACGAACAGTGGCCTTAGCAGGGGCTTCCATGATCTTGGCTTTACCCTTCTCTGCAGCGGTGAGTATCGGGCGACGCTCCTCCCCCAGACTGTCGTCATCAGAAAGCACCACGCGGGCACGCTTCGGCTTGGACTGTAGGCGATGGCGCAGCCTCCGCTTTAGTAGCGGAACGTCGTCGTCGTCCTTGAAGCTCCACGGGTCGTCGTCGGAGCCTTCACCGTCATATAAGACGGCATCCGCAGCATCCTTGTCCACCTCCGCCATAGCATCCGCATCCGCAATGGCGGCCACCTCCGCAGGCGCAACTGTCTCGGCATCCACTTCCGCCTCGTCGTCAGCCTCCAAATACGCATCCACCGTCACTCCCGCTGCATGCGCCGCTGCCTCCGCGTTGTCACCATCAGCATCGGCGCCTCCGTCGTTGTCCGAATCACCAACCCGCCACTCTTCCACTTCCTCGTCGCTCCCGACCGGCCGATTCCACCATTCGTCCTCCTTGATGTCGGAAGGAGCTAATTCGTCGCCCGAAGCGCTGTCATCGTGGCCGTTCTCCGGCCAATCCTCCTCGGCGTCATCGCCGTGTTCTTCGTCGCCGTCGTCCCCGTCACAGCTCGCACCGGAGGCGGCGGTAGAACGTCCCGCCTTGCTCGCGTTCTTCGCCATGGCTACACGGATGTCATCGCCGGGCGAGTTAATTCGCCCGTAGTTATTCACCTGCACGTGAGGACGAGGAGAGGACGAGCCTACGGGTACTTTGCTGCGCATGGTTAGAAAGCTTGCCGAGAGCAAGGTTGAGACGAGTATTCAACATCCTTGAGCACCAAATGAAGCAAGAGCCCGACTACCCCCCCCCCCCTAGCCAGAGTGCCCCATCCAAAGGTGCCGAGCCGCTCCTCTACGAGGCATCTCCTCGTAGAGGACGGTCCTCACGCTGCCATCGTGCTGCCAGCAGTGTTATGGAAGCATCCATGCGCTGCTGGCAGCAAAACGACGCTAGCAGCATCATTAGATGCTGCCAGCAGAGAAGATTGTTGCCAGCACAGAGGAATGTTGCCAACGGTGGCAGCTTTGCTGCATCCCTCACGTGGCAAGTGTGGGCGCTTCATGCATCACCACCGAGGTCGGCCTGTTTCAATGAATCTTGCCCCAGGTGGTTTCTACACACTTTGCAAGTGTTACAGACTACTTAATTATTTTTCCATTTATAAGACTTTTAAGACACCCTAAACCATCCCAAATACAAGATAACTCAAGCATTTTGAGTAGTGTACGAAATAAGACATATATGTCTTATATCCGGGCGATGACGGTAAGACCATAGATTGTTCAATAGGAGTATCTGTTTTTTTTTTAAGTGAAAGCTCATACAAAGAAGCACAAGCAAAACAGTACAGTCATATATGACTGTAATAGGAGTATCTGTTAGTGAACACAAAGGCTGTAAGTGGCCAAAGCACTCCACGCCAAACATTCACTGAATCTACCCAACCCGTTATATAGAGCCCTTGTATCGAAGCTCCATGGCAGCAGTAACAATTTGGAGGGGGACGAGTGGTGGTGGCAGTGCTGGCTGGCAGCAGCGCGGGAGGGAAAACCAAGACGGAACGAATCTCGAAAATCTGGAATCTAGAGACTTCCGTACCTCGGGAATTAGTTTCAAGACAATCAGAAACTAGTTTGAGCCACTCTCGTCGCTCTGCTCTGCGCGGTTTTTGCTTCCGTAAGCGTTCGTTTTCATTAATACGCCCGCAGCTCTACCCCGCGAGCCGCGAGCCGCTCTCTCGACGGCAATGGCGCCCGAGGTGAGCCATCATGCGGATCGTGCGCCCGGTGCTCCACGTGTCGCGCTTCTCGCGGCAATGCCGGAGGTCGATGAGTTTGTCTAGATCGTGTTCCTTCGCAATGGTTCCACGAGAATCCTCAGAATCCTACTTATTCCGCCCGTTGTTGCAATAAGAAATCACGTCGCCAATACCTTTCTGTTTTTTTTGCAACGTGATGCCTCCTCGAGTATCGCGGCGCGGCTCGTATCTCAACTCTACCCGTCCCAATCCGTTGCGCCGCGTTATTTGTCGCACCGCTATTCACAGGCGCGGTACATGGATGCGCGCACGACAGACCCGGCGATCAGCACCGCCATGCCCATGATCATTCCCTCACGTGCGACATTCCCCGTTGTGTCGTACCTTGTCGCATTCCGCTCGTCGCGATGTCTTATTACCTTCCACGTCTTCTGCATTCCTCTTCCGTCTTCTTCCCCTTCCATCCCCCGCCAGGCGTGGTACATGGACGACAAGACCGACGACCAGCGCCTGCCTCCGCTTGCACTCTAGCATTCGCGATTTCTCTGTTTCCATTCCTCTTCTTCCGCGTCTCTTCCGCCGTCCCCCTCCATCCCCCTTCCATTCCCCCTCCATCCCCCCGCCAGGCGTGGTACATGGACGACAAGACCGACGACCAGCGCCTGCCTCCTCTTGCATTTTGTCATTCGCGGTTTCTCTGTTTTCATTCCTCTTCTTCCGTGTCTCTTCCTCGTCGTCCATCCCCCGCCAGGCGTGGTACATGGACGACAAGACCGACGACCAGCGCCTGCCTCATCGCCTCGACCCCAACCAGCCCTGCTCCCTCGAAACGCTCTCCGGTGCGCCTCCCTCCCTCCCTACCTCCCTCCCTCCCTCCCTAACTCCCTCCCTCCCTCCCTCCCTCCCTCCCTCCCTCCCTCCCTCCCTCCCTCCCTCCCTCCCTCCCTCCCTCCCTCCCTCCCTCCCTCCCTCCCTCCCTCCTTCTCCCTCCCCGCCCTCGCTTTCTGAGGCACCTAAGTGCGCTTCCTTCCTTCGCTTCCTGCCGTCGCTTTCGCGACCTACGCGTACTCGTTTCGCGTTCTCGCTTCGCCCGCCTCTGCTGTTTGCATCCACCCGCCTCTGCTGTTTGCATCCACCCGCCTCTGCTGTTTGCATCCATCCATCCGTAATTCCTCCTACCGCTTACCCTTTCGCGTTCGCCGCCCTTCCAGCAATATCCCTCCTCTCCCACCGCTCCCGCCTAGTTGTCTAAACCTCAACCTCCCCCTTGCTGGTTCTCTCGCGCGGCTCTCCCGCGTCTCTCTTTCCCGCAGCTCTCGCTTCTCTCTTTCTCGCAGCTCGCCCGCGCAGAGACGGAAAATCAATTCCCTCTCACCCCCCGCCTTTTATCCCGACCTTCCATCAAACTCTCGCCTGTTCCGTGCGTCCCGCGTGTCCCATGTGTCCCACGTGTGTCTCTCGTCTTGCGTGCAGTGCAGAGCTGGGCATCCTGTACTGGAAGCTGGACGCGGACATCTGGAAGAGCGACCCCCTCTGCCGCGCCTCTCACTCTTCTCTCACCCCTCTCCCGTGTCCCGCCTGTCTCATGTGTCCCGTGTGTGTCCCTTGGCAGAGCTGGGCATCCTGCACTGGAAGCTGGACGCGGACATCTGGAAGAGCGACCCCCTCTGCCGCGCCTCTCACTCTTCTCTCACCCCTCTCCCGTGTCCCGCCTGTCTCATGTGTCCCGTGTGTGTCCCTTGGCAGAGCTGGGCATCCTGCACTGGAAGCTGGACGCGGACATCTGGAAGAGCGACCCCCTCTGCCGCGCCTCTCACTCTTCTCTCACCCCTCTCCCGTGTCCCGCCTGTCTCATGTGTCCCGTGTGTGTCCCTTGGCAGAGCTGGGCATCCTGCACTGGAAGCTGGACGCGGACATCTGGAAGAGCGACCCCCTCTGCCGCGCCTCTCACTCTTCTCTCACCCCTCTCCCGTGTCCCGCCTGTCTCATGTGTCCCGTGTGTGTCCCTTGGCAGAGCTGGGCATCCTGCACTGGAAGCTGGACGCGGACATCTGGAAGAGCGACCCCCTCTGCCGCGCCTCTCACTCTTCTCTCACCCCTCTCCCGTGTCCCGCCTGTCTCATGTGTCCCGTGTGTGTCCCTTGGCAGAGCTGGGCATCCTGCACTGGAAGCTGGACGCGGACATCTGGAAGAGCGACCCCCTCTGCCGCGCCTCTCACTCTTCTCTCACCCCTCTCCCGTGTCCCGCCTGTCTCATGTGTCCCGTGTGTGTCCCTTGGCAGAGCTGGGCATCCTGCACTGGAAGCTGGACGCGGACATCTGGAAGAGCGACCCCCTCTGCCGCGCCTCTCACTCTTCTCTCACCCCTCTCCCGTGTCCCGCCTGTCTCATGTGTCCCGTGTGTGTCCCTTGGCAGAGCTGGGCATCCTGCACTGGAAGCTGGACGCGGACATCTGGAAGAGCGACCCCCTCTGCCGCGCCTCTCACTCTTCTCTCACCCCTCTCCCGTGTCCCGCCTGTCTCATGTGTCCCGTGTGTGTCCCTTGGCAGAGCTGGGCATCCTGCACTGGAAGCTGGACGCGGACATCTGGAAGAGCGACCCCCTCTGCCGCGCCTCTCACTCTTCTCTCACCCCTCTCCCGTGTCCCGCCTGTCTCATGTGTCCCGTGTGTGTCCCTTGGCAGAGCTGGGCATCCTGCACTGGAAGCTGGACGCGGACATCTGGAAGAGCGACCCCCTCTGCCGCGCCTCTCACTCTTCTCTCACCCCTCTCCCGTGTCCCGCCTGTCTCATGTGTCCCGTGTGTGTCCCTTGGCAGAGCTGGGCATCCTGCACTGGAAGCTGGACGCGGACATCTGGAAGAGCGACCCCCTCTGCCGCGCCTCTCACTCTTCTCTCACCCCTCTCCCGTGTCCCGCCTGTCTCATGTGTCCCGTGTGTGTCCCTTGGCAGAGCTGGGCATCCTGCACTGGAAGCTGGACGCGGACATCTGGAAGAGCGACCCCCTCTGCCGCGCCTCTCAACCCCCCACGTCTCACCTGCCCTTCCACGTGTGTCCCTCGTCTTGCGTGCAGAGCTGGGCATTCTGTACTGGAAGCTGGACGCGGACATCTGGGATTCCGACCCCCAGCTGAAGCAGATCCGCAAGGAGCGCAACTACTCGTACGAGGTGAGGGGGGGGGGGGGGGAGGGGGCGTGTGGGGTTTGGGCTGGCCATTAAAAGTCAACAGAGCTCAAGCTCGAACAGAGCTGAAGCAGATTCGCAAGGAGCGCAACTACTCGTACGAGGTGAGCCGCGGGGCACGTGGGATGTTAGCCTTGGGGCGTGGGGGGCTGACGCGTGAGCTGGGGGGCGTGGGGGGCTGACGCGTGAGCTGGGGGGCGTGGCTTGTGAGCGGGTCTAGAAGACATAGCAAGCTCAAACAGAGCTGAAGCAGATCCGCAAGGACAACAGACTTGTACGATGTGAGGTGTGAGCTGTGCTACTCCCCGTTTCCCTCCTCTCCTTCCCTCCTCTCCTTCCCCCCGTTCCCCCTTCGCCCCTGTTACCATGGTAGTTTGCACAGGAGGTAATGGAGATGCATCGGGACATGCTTCCCAAGTGCCCCCTGTTGTAACCACACAGTTTCAAATGGTTGTTATTTAGAATTCTCAAAAACAACCTGCAGCATTGGGACACACTGCCCTAATGCGCCCAGTAGTAACCTTACAGTTTCAGCTGGTGCACAGCCACACTGTTCCACCACTTCCTCTCCCCCCTCCCTCTTCACTCTGTGCAGACCATCCACAGGAGCTGGTCAACATCCACCCAGACACGCTGCCATTCGCCTCACCCGCTCCCTGCCCTCTCCCCTCCTCCCCTCCTCCCCTCCTCCCCTCCTCCCCTCCTATTTGTGCAAAGGAGGTGGTGAACACCCATCCGGACATGCTTCTATTCGCCTCACCCGCTCTTTGCCCTCCCCTCTCCTCCCTCTATCTCCCCACAGGAGGTGGTGAACATCCACCCGGACACACTGCCCAACTACGAGCAGAAGCTCAAGTCGTTCTACGAGGAGCACATTCACACCGATGAGGAGATTCGCTACATCCTTGATGGCAGTGGTGAGTGCATGAACGTGTGGTGAAGGTCCAACTACCCTATACCCTAGACCAAAAGCTCAAGTCGTTCTATGAGGAGCACATCCACACAGACGAGGAGATTCGCTACATCCTTGATGGCAGTGGTGAGTGCTGCCTGGGGTGGGAGCAGCGAGTGCTGCTTGGGGTGGGAGCGGTGAGTGCTGCTTGGGGTGGGAGCGGTGAGTGCGCTGCTTCCATCTTCATTATTCTAGATGGCAACTGGGGGTGATGATGTATTCCACAGCAGTGGTGCTTCAGCCGTATTCACCCTGTCTCATGTTTCCTTGGCCCTCCCATGTCCCATCTCCCGCACCCAGGCTACTTTGATGTGAGGGACTTTGAGGACCGTTGGATCCGCATCCACACGAAGAAGGGCGACCTCATCGTGCTGCCAGCTGGCATCTACCACCGCTTCACCCTCGACTCCACCAACTACGTCAAGGTGCACACACAGGGAAGGGAAGCAGGGGGTTCCAGTGTGTTGCTTTTGAGACGTCTAGGAAAAATGATCTACCACCGCTTCACCCTCGACTCCACCAACTACGTCAATGTGCGTTCTGAGACGTCTTAAAACTAACTCAAAGGGCGGCCTCATCGTGCTGCCAGCTGGCATCTACCAACTACGTCAAGGTGTGTAGCGCATGCAGTGAAGCAGAGGGGGTTGCAGTGTGCAGTTTGCTTGTGTGCCGCTCGTTTTGCAGCTTTGCAGGCAAGGGCACTCTAGTCATGTGCCTTGCACGAAACGTGGCAGGCAGAGTTCTCATTGTGCCTGCGGTCTGCGACTGGCTGTCTCCTTTTCAGGCTCTCCGTCTCTTTGTGGGCGAGCCTGTGTGGACTCCTTACAACCGTCCGGCTGATGAAATGGCAGCCAGGTATGTGCCCTGCCAATTGTCATGCTGGTTGTGCGGAATCTTCTGCCTTGTCTCACCTCTCACATCAAGTGCCTATTATGCAGGAAGGAGTACCTTGAGAAGTTTGCCATCAGGACTGCAACTGCTGTTGCCTAGTCTCATTACAGTGACAGTTTTATAGGGTAACATGCTGTGAATAGTTCACATGGTTGCTACAGATGTACATGAGAACGTTTGTAATTTCAGAGTGATCATTTGCATTGGGGCGGGACTTGGTTGGCATTAATGATCGAGCGAAGGTCGCACATTACCTACTAGATTAAGAACGTTGCACTCTATAGCGGTTTCCATCTTTTACTGCCTCACCCCGTGATGACATGAAGAAGACCGCACACAACATACCGGAAGATATACTACCACGGGTACCATCCTTCATGTCCTTACTATGCAATGTGGCATTTAAGACTTGCGAGTTGATTCTCTGCTAGGGATGATTGTGTCCTTTCAATGGCAGCTGTGCCTGAACGAATACGGTACGATTAATCCCAATGGCAGGTGGTCGTGCAAGTGGTTGTGCAAACGATAGACTTGTTTGAATATAATCATATTTTTTTAGTTTTGAATCTTATGAACACTGCTTTACATCCAGGGCAAAACAGGAACCAACTTCACGCCCATTTAAAAGGGAGCGGGGAAGACACCGGGGATGGCGGCAATGGACTGCAAAGGTAACCAAAAGAGAAAAGAGTGGACGTTAGACGAATAACGAGAAGTGGTAGATAAAATACATTCAACTGCTGGAAGCTCCTGCAATGCAGAAAGGAACAACGAATTACCTCGACGACGTTGTTGTGGAAGGGGTCGGAGAGGTGGTCCAGAAGGTTCTCAATGGGGCTCTTGTCGGTGTACGCGCACTGGACCCAGAAGCCGAGGTTAGCAAGCATGGCCAATCGGCCGTTCTTGATCTCCCGGAGACGCACGTCCTTGACCTTCGCGGGCTCGCCGAAGCCCATGCCGAGGGGATCGAAGCCGGGGTAGCCGACATCGGTACCCTTGACGGCATTGCCCTTGAAGATGGGGTCCTCGCTGTAGTCAGAAAAGGAATTTCACGTGAGATCCAGTTGCGGAGACGAAGACTAAGAAATGGCTGTGAAAATGGAAAACATCACTCACTTCACGGAGCCGGGGTTGTTGATGTCAGCCCATCTCCTGCCCTCAACCCAGCCGACGAGGATGATCTCAATGGCCCACAGGGTGGGGGTGTCGAGCCAGTACTCGGCGACGTTAGCGGCGTCCCAGCGGGGGATGTCGAGGAGGCCGGCAACGCGGAGAGCGTCAGGGATCATCACACCGGCGGCGCCGAGCATGGCCCAGCGGCAGTGGACCACCTCAGCCTGGACGTACCAGTCCAGGTTGGAGGAGGCAAGGCCAAGGGGATCGAAGCCAAAGTCAGCGGGGAGGGTGCCATCAAGGTAGGCAGGGGGGGTGCTGCCGGGGAAGTACAGCGGCCTCTCGCCGGCCCTGACGGAGAAGGAAGCCTTCACGGGAGCGGCGGCGACCTTGACGGAGCGAACCTGACGGCCGGAGAAGGCCGACCTGCTCACGACGGAGCTGGCAACAGCCGCAACGGTGTGGGAGGCGGTGACGGCAGCCATGGCTTCTGATGCAGTGTACAGCAGGGGAAGCTGGGGTACACTGAGAGTTGGGTTGGGTTCGTCAACGACTCCAAGTTTGGGGGTTGCAAGGAGGGATAGTAATTCAGTTCAGGTGGAGGGAGGGGGGTGGGGGACGGGGGAGCAGCAGAGGGGAGCAGAGAGGATCAGGGAGGGCGTGGCGCGTCGCGGCGAAATGTCACACGGGGGCAGCCCAGAAGATCCATCGCTAGCCTCTGCGTCGAATGGGAGAAATCGGCGAGCAGATAATGTGCCAGCTCGACCAATGCGAGGGCTCGCTTGGGTTCGCTTCGGCAATCCCCAGCCAGGAAAGTTATGGGGTTGAGTTGACAGATATGGGGGGCTTGTGAGGAAAAACGATTGTCCCTAAAATGAGCGGCTGATTCGGCAAATTAGCAAACATATTTAGTCAGTGTACACTAGTGATGTTTTCTTCATATAACGATTCGTAGTCAAGCACCAGTGAAACCACGTACACCAGAGGAAAAGCAAAATCGTCAAATTATATCTTAAATAAATATTCTGGGAGGTGTTGTGGTGAGGGAATAAATTGAACTTTATGCAAACTAAAGTTCAAATAAAAAAAAATAGCCTGAATGGTACGAAGTATTATTTTGAACAAAAGTAGGTCCTATTCGCTAATGTGGAAAACACATTGCGAGCTGATTTGATTAGAGTGCATAGGATGGAGTTTAACATTCTCAAACATTCTTAAAAATGATTGCATTATAACGAGTTGCGTCATTGTTCTTCCATCAGC